AGGAAGCATCTTCCATTACTCATTTAATTTTGATAATAACCCTGCAGGTAGATCGTTACTCTAACGTTACAGTGAATAATCCGAGGTACAGAGAAAGTAATGGAGTTGCCGACGGTAACACAGGTAGAAAGCGGTGGAGCCGAGACCCAGTTCCGGTTCCGTCAGGTTCTAGAGCTGAAACTGATTAAAGAAACTAAACGTAGGAAAAGACAGGATCTGAGAATATAGCATCTATGGTGAAATGGAAGGAGCACTGATTTTCAGTACTATATTGGAAAAAATTTTTTAAAGATTTTATTTATTCATCTTCAGAGGGAAAAGGGAAGGAAAGGAGAGAGGGAGAGAAACAATTGATGTTTTGATGTTTCAGTGTATGGTTGCCTCTCGTGCATTCTCTGCTGGGAACTGGCCCTCAACCCAGGCATGTGCCCTGACCAGGAATTGAACCGAAATCCCTTGGTTCGCAGGCCCACGCTCAGTCCACTGAGCCACACCAGCCAGGGCTGGAAATATTTTTTAAATCATGAAAATATTTGCTATTTACTACCCTGTTAAATGTTGTACCTTTTCTCAAATATTAAAATTCAGTTTAAGTGAGGATAAATCCTCTCTTATCAGTACTGTCAAACATTAAAATCTAGTTTTATTTCAGCAAATGAAAGGAATTTCCAGAACAAAGGGACCCTTGTAATGATGTCATCTCTATCCAGAATGGTCGCTTTATTTCTCGTTGCTCAGGAAGCTATTTATAGTTTATCAGGGACTCCAGGGTGTAAATTATTTGAACATTAATAGATTCAACTTGTGTGTGAAAAGGATTCCGTTTATTTAACATGCTTTTGGTAGTACTTGTAAAATCCTCTTGAAATTATGTTCTTTTGTCTTTCTGATCTCTGGCATAGAGGAGGTACTCAGATACTTTCAAAGACACAAAGTGTATCTTGCTGATGATTTAAAGTATCACTTCAGAGTTTTCAGTAAATGGCAGAGGTACATTCCTTTTTCTTTAATTTACTTTTTTACTTTTTAAAATTGCAGTTGATTTTAGAGAGAGGTAGGGGGGGAGAGAGAGAGAAACATTGAAATGTCGTCCCACTCATTTGTGTGTTCACTGGTTGATTCTTATATGTGGCCTGACCAGGGATTGAACCCACAACCTTGGCATCAGGATGATTCTGTAACCTACTGAACTACCCGGCCAGGGCCCAGACAAAAATACATTCTATACAGTTATGGTACCAGCCTGCCTCTTGAACATAAAACCTTGTACTTGAATATAAGCCCCAATTAACTAGACCTTAATTCTTCACCTTCAGATGTAGAACCACTTTCATGCTGGTGGTTATCAGCCAGAGAATAAAGAGATTAATTTCTTGTAATAGTATAAATAATATTGAAAAGAGGAGAGGAGGTGACTGCTTCATGTTTCCTTTTGAAGTTCATCAGAGCAAAGCTGAAATTTTTGGAAAGCAAGCATGGCAGACTCCAAGGACATCACATGGTTTTTTAAGCCTTCGGTACTGGTGTGTTTCACTCGGCCTGCGGTAGGGGGGTGAGTGAGTGCTGGGTGACCGGTGTGTTGTGTCTGCTGCAGGAACACCCTGTATAACTGAATCTGTCTTACCAGCCAGTTATTTTCCTGTTGTCTGAAACTAAAGAGCATTATGCTTTCTGACAATGTAGGAATTTCTGTGCAATTAAAATATATATCGTCATTGAAGTGAAAATAATAAATTACAGGAACTTGATTGATTTCAGCTATATTAATGAATTCCTCCCCCAAAAAGTCACGTCAATATCATTTACGTTTTTTTAATAAAGTAGCTGACATACCATTAAAGTACTAAAACTCGCCTTGACAGTTGTCACTAAATTCACACCCGAGGTGCAGGTGGTGGCAGCACTGAGTCATCATCCACCTGGTGGTCGTGGTCGTTGGCCTCCCAGATGGCCCCCAGCAGCCCCACCCCCTGACAGTCACACCTGTACGTCGTCCCCTCTCAGTGACCAGGGTGGGTCTGCGTGGCCAACAGAAGACCTCAGAAGTGATGGTGGTATGTCACTTCAGATTATTATCAACGACACTGGGGTTTCTGTCGTGGTGTGTTGAGCTCTATCATTGCATCACCTGCTCTAGAAAACTAGCCCGCGTTCACCTCCCGACGCCACAGTGCTGGCCAGCAGCTGGGCTGCAGCCTCAGGAGACACTGGGCCAGAACCACCCAGCTGGCCCCTCCCAAATTCCTGACCTTCAGAAACTTACGAGATAAAAAAACATTTACTGTTTAAATTGCTAAATTTTGGGGTAATCTGTTATACATGAATGGATAACCAATGCTTACCTCCAATAAAGCTCTTCTTTATTCTTCAAATCTTAACATCTACTTTTGGTTGTTGTCCATATTATTTGTGCCATTAACCTGTCATCCATACAACTCACTTGATTGAGGCATTAAGTTAGTTAAAAAATACCATATTCTGTCATTTTGCAATCCAGTGTTTGGCACGATAAATACAGGCCTCAAATTCACTTTGCCTGTTAGAATGTATTTAAATGAACTGTTTTGTGATAGGGAGCCCTTTTTAGATTATTCCACAGATTCTTTTCATTTGTGTACAACGCCACCAATTTTGTACAACTTGTAATTACTGTGCGAGTGATTATGGAATTACCGTGAAGTGCTTCAGGAGAAAACAGACAGCTTAACGACTGTCCTCGGAAGCCTGAGACCTCACCGAGCAAGCGCCTCGCCCATTACTCCTAACTCAGTGATGCTTATTAATTATACAGATAATGACAGTGCGGGTTTTAAAAAGTCGTGTTTTTAAGGATTGGTTAACTGTATACTCAAACCTGAGGGAAGGCTTTGCAGCAGCTCCGATGTCGAGGTCGTGAATCGTATCCCCAGCTCCTGCTCTGTCACTCCGCTTTCTCCGTGGTGTTCTGAAAAAGGGAAGGTCATAAAATAATCAGGCTCGCAGGGTTTTTTCTTTTGGGGGGTTGCCTAGTAAGCCATTCTCAATACCCATAATCATCCTGTTACCAGCAGTAAGCATACAGAAATGGTAACCATGAATAAAAAATGTGTGCAAGCATTTTTCTCACCATGGATTTGCCTCAGGACACTAATAGCTATAAATAGATGCTTTCATTGAATCCTTGGTTATCAAGCTCATGTTTTTATGCTTGGAACATAAAGAAACAGATGTTCCCGGTGAAAGGAAAACATTGGTGAGTCCCATGTTGTTTAACACAGTTGCTTTTTGAAGTGTAATTGAAAACTAGCTTTTTTCTTTTACTCTCACTGTGATGTTTAAATAGAATAATAACATATGCGTATAAACAGGCAATTCAGGAACTGGTCTTGTCTTTCTCCATTCTAAATGGACTAGAGCTTATTTTGAAATTTTACTGAAAATTTCCTTTTTAATTTGGAGCTGAAAAAAATAGGATCCTATCTTGGAATCTGTCTTTCGGGTCCCTCCACCGTTTAATTCACTTGCTCACACACACACAATAAGGTAAGGAAAATGGTTATCAGTAACTTAAAGGAACAAAGACATTTCCCTTTTTATATTTCCAGTATACAAGCGTTATCCAGATACTCCAACAGTGCCATCTTTTTGTCAACACAAAAGTAAAACCCAGTGCTTCTAACTCTGCACTGAACATTTGCCAACTGGACCAACACAAATTAGTATTACTGCATAGTCTGTGAACCCCATGTTTTGCTTTTGGGTTTTCTTTCTTCTTCTTTTTTTTTTTTTTTAGGATTTTTTGTTTTAAGCATAGTCATCGAATTGTGAATTTCCCTTTTCAAACGGGTTCCCATTTGTGGACAGTGGTGCTAAGGAAAATAGAGCTCCTGGTGAAATAATTTTTTAACTGATAAATGACAGTAATTTTCTTAACTAGATTTCATTTGAAACTTTAAATCATATGGGACTTTGCTGGGGTTTTTGAGAAAGTTTCCTCAATGCTATAGTAATACTTTTTGGTAAAATGTCTCAGGAAGCTTTAAAGTCTGTGCAGTAAGATTGCTGTCATGTCCCCTGCACATGAAGTTCTGTGAAGCAGAACTTCAGGGCCTTCCTAGCAGGGATGAGAGAAGCAGGAGCCCTGAGAACACCTTTCCGCTCCCTGACCAGACTCTAAGCACTAGCCCACATTCCCCGCTCACCCTCTCTCTCATCCTCAACGCTCACCACCCTGAAGGGGACAGATAGGAGAGTGGAAGACAGCTGCCCACACAGATACTAGAAGGGCAGGGGTGGGGGGACTTGGCAACAGCTAGAAGGGTCTGCACCTTTCGTTGTAAGGGCCTCTGCCCTCCTGACCCACCAGCTGAGTGAAGTTCTGTATGTACAAATCACAGATAGACCCAGATCATAACATGAAAATATTTTTAGCATCCTTTACTTATCTACAGCTCCTTGTTGGGTCTCCAAATATGTGAACTCAACAAAACATCATGTGTAGCCTGTTTCAGAAATTCAGATGCTACACCTCAGGAAGAAGAGATCAGAGGTACCTGTCGGTCATTGTCGGTCATATGGCATCGTAAGCAGAGGTAGTGAGCGTGGTGGTTAAGAGACCAGGCATTAGGGCCAGCCTGCCTGGGTGTGAATCCCAGCCTGACCCCTTGCCAGCGGGGTCACCTGGAACTAGTTACCTGACCTCTGCGTAATAGTTTCTCAGCTGCAAAATGGGGATCATAGCACCGCCTTATAGGGCTGTAAAATTTAGGTATGTTAATATTCTCATAAGTGCTTAGAACAACGTCTAATTCATAGTTAGCTCTGTGTAGTATTTGTTCTCGTTAATATTTACACTGCGTACCCATCCTGATACTGTTTCTGCATTAGCTGATGGCCCCACTGGGTTTGTAGTCAGCAGATGACAGGCATACTAACGCACCACCCTTAATGTATAACTACCAGCAAATCCCCCTCCTAAATAGTTTTAAAAATCAAAATGCAACTCGTTTTCTCTTTCCCAGGCCCAACACAGAGATACTTTCATTGAAGAACGCTATGGAAAATACAACATCAGTGATCCTTTAATGGCTCTGCAGAGGGACTTTGAAACCCTGAAGGAGAAAAACGACGGTGAAAAGCAGCCGGTCTGCACGAACCCACTCTCGATTCTCAAGATGGTGATGAAGCAGTGTAAGAACATGCAGGAGCGCATGCTGTCCCAGCTGGCCGCTGCCGAGAGCAGGCACCGAAAGGTGGGCCCGCCCGGGGACATGGGCTGCGTGAGCTCTTAGGAGGGCCTCATAAACAATGTGATTTCTCGTCAGCTGCCAGTTTTTGTAGTAATTGGGTCGGAGGTCCCTCAGGTATCCGAAAGATCCTTAGCTCACCAAAGAGCCAGGAGGTAGGAAACAAAACACAAGTTACTGCAAGTGTTAAATTTAGGGAGTGTGCCAGACACATTCAAGACAGCATTCTTTCTTGATATGACACTTCAGACACTCGGTATGTTTTCTCAGCTCTCGATCTTTCAAACTTTGGCAACAAACTGGGATTTGACCAAGCTTGTAACTGAAAGGAGCGGTTGCTGTTTGCTTACTTAAGTGATAGATAGCAAGATTAACAGGTATTTGCAGAATGAGGGAGAGAGAAAAAATTTACCGGACTATAAACATGAAAGCCAATAGATTATTTTCATTTATTGCTAGTTTTGAGTTTTGTTGCATTTTACTTCATGAAAGCATGCACAAACAGTCCTAGGGGTGTTCACCTTAAAACTGATCTGCCCTGCTAGGGAAGTGGGGAGGCCAGGGAGAGGTGGGGATCCTTGGCTCCAGGCCTTACAGCCCCTGGTTAGGAAAGCAAACCTGTGCTTTCTTCATCTCGTTGGAATTCTAGTGCTTACGATTGCATTCCCAGTCTTGTCGTTTACTACTCGGATTTGGCCTGTAAAGCATGCTTGGCTAGAATATGCACTTTTTTTAAACTCTTGGTTTAGATTTATACCAACAAGTGGGGACATTGGTGAAGTTAGTAAGAAGCAACATACTCTGAAAAACTGGGTTAGCGGCTGCAGTATAATGTTCCTTGGTGTACTTTCCTGGTTACCTGCACATGAGAGCCCTCCACTTAGAACGTGTCTGACAGACAGGTCGCCTGGGCCTGCGTCTTGCCCTTGGCTTTTCTGTCCCTTCACAGAGTCTGAACGAGAGACCAGAGTGCAGGTTCTTAGCTGTGCATGGGCCTCAGATGTCTCGTGATCCCCCTAAAAATATACAGAATGCCAAAAGCTTGTGCATTTTTACAGAAAACGAAGATTTCTGTAAAATATCCTTATAGATGTCTTTAATTGAATTCTGAAGTGGTCCAGGACCTAGAACACTGGAACCTCTGGTCCACTGAAGGAACCTGACGGCATCTGTGCCCCCATCCGACGGGTGTCAGTAGGTCCGAATTGGTTGCCTCCTCGTGGGGGAGGGTTTTTACATAATCCTCTGAGAAAACCTCCACGACGCCCTTGTTTGGCAGGGTCCCTAAGCTGTGCTGAGGGGCTGGCTGGCTGTGGTGCCCACGGAAGGGGCAGCTTTGGGGTGATTTGTGGGTCTGGGTGATCAGGGAAGGAAGAAGTTAGAAATGATTCAAAATTCTTAAAACTAGTTCAACATAAGATTCTTTGCATGTTAACTATTTAAACCAGCTGCCTGTCTGATCTTAAGTGTTTTGTTAAAGTAGAACACTGACTTTGTTGGAAATCAAGGGGCTTATGACTGGAGTACTTAGAGTCCCAGTTTGCCCGAGAGAGCCCAGCCTGTGCCTGCCCCCCCCCCACCCCGCACGGTTATTAACAGCGCACCTGCTCTGCCTCCCAGGACTGGTTTGGACAGTGAATTACGTGGTCGCTCTGCTTGTTATGAAGAGTAGAGGTTCCTAGTCCACCCCTTCCCACTCCCGCCCCTCAGTCTGCAGACAACCCTGTTTTCTAGTGCCCATTCATTTGAGCAGATAAATCCCATATTTCTAAATAACAAACAGCTCTCGTGCTCCATCCGTTTTAGACACTTAACCACTTCCTTTTATTATAGACATGGATTTTGTTACCTTACACCCCACCCCTTCCATCTTCCCAACACAAGCATAACCACCTTTCCTCACCCCCATTCTCCATTGTATCTGCTCTTCCCAAATCCTGAGCCTGCCTGTTCGGTGTCTTCAGAGGATTAGTCTCTGGCTTATGCCTGGGCCATAGGTGCCTGGCTGCTGATACTCTACGTGTAAAAATAAAGATGGGGGGCCCTGGCTGGTGAGGCTTAGTTGGTGGGAGTGTTGTCCCATAAACTGAAAGAAAGATCACAGGTTTGATCCCTGGTTGGGGCCCATACAAGAGGCAACTGGTTGATGTTTCTTTAGGAAGTACGCCAAAAAAGTTTCATTTTTTTGTATTTAAAGGGGAGTTTCATGTCCCAGAAAATATTCTGCCTCCATTTATAAAAATTGTGAGTGAGGAGAGACTGAGCCGTGGCCTCTAGGGCGTCAGAGCCCGGCCCTGTGCCTGCCGTGGCCCCTCCGTGGCATGAGCGGCATGAGCAGCGGCCCCTACGAAGCCCATTGCCCTTTGCACAGCAGGCAGCTAATAGTAGGCGGGGTGATGCTGCGAGCGTCCCTTTCAGTGTGTGTTCTCCTTAAAATTGGGCTTAATCCTTTGGCATCAGGAGAAGTGGAAAGGGCAGGCAGGTTAACTAAAAGGCCTTATGGAAAATCTGTACTTAATATCCCAATAACTGAGCCTTTTTACACGAAGTCAAGAGAGTCTTTTCACCTCTTACCTAACGATATACAAACTGCATGTTAGTAACGGAGCAAGGCACAGTTAGAATGCCACCCACTTGAAATATTTAGTTTCGGGCCCTCTCTTTGGTGCCTCCTATGACTTGTGCATTTGAGGAGAGCATCTCAGCATCCGCTGCTCACTGTCCTGTCCGGCTTCGTTACCCGAATCTGTCCTCTCCCTGCTGCCACCAAAGCACCTTTCTCCTGGGCCCTCTGTCAGCTCCCGGAAACCTTATTGGCCCTGCAGCTAATTCCATGCCATTGCCCTCTGCTGTCCACATGCCGTTTTGTGTGTAGCTCAGTAAAGCACCTCCTTACTGTTTGCTAGCACCCCACTTGCCTGTCTTTCACCGCACGAGACAGGAGCTCCTTGTCAGCCCTGCCCGGGATGCCTTATCTTTCTGACTCAGGAACTGTCTTAGTTGCTTAGTTAGATAGGCTCTTAGTATTGAACTGTATTATAACTGGGATTCCTTGGTACTTGGAAATGATTGTTTTTTAAATTCTTTAAAGGTGATTCTGGACCTTGAGGAAGAAAGGCAAAGGCATGCCCAGGACACGGCTGAAGGAGATGATGTCACCTACATGCTGGAGAAGGAGCGAGAGCGTCTGACTCAACAGGTGATTAAGGTGGAGGAGGGTCGCTGCAGTTTGCCAAGAATAGCATTCCTCAGAGACGGTCCTGCCGGGTGCGAGTTGGCATTACTTGAGAAAAAGGCTTTACAGTCCAGTAAGTCTGGGATCCGACAAAGTGAAGCAGGTTCCTAATTCAGTTTCTTAGACCATTTAGGATGCAGAAGCACATCGTGCGTCTTCAAGAAAAAGGTCATGTGTCCTGTGTTTAACAGATCTGTGTTTCCATAAAATCTTTTTTGATATAGATCACTCACGGTGGGACTGTGGTTCCGTGGAACACACTCACGCTTTTTCTGACTTAGGACTCCCAGTAAGAAATACATTTAACAACCCAGTTATATACACAGAGATCACACATAATCCTTAATACCATGGAATCACACATAATCCTTACCGCTTACAATACACATTGATGTTTTATCTTCCAGTTTATCTTTCAAAAGCTCTAGTCATGCCCTGGCTGGGTGGCTTAGTTGCTTGGAGCGTCACCCCATACACCTAAAGGTTGTGGGTTTGGTTCCCAGTCAGGGCACATACCTTGGTTGCGGGTTCGATCCCTGATCATGGTGTATACGGGAGGCAACCAGTCGATGTTTCTCTCTCACATCGATGTTTCTCCCCCTGCCCCCCTTTCTCTCTCTAAAATCAGTGACCAAGTCCTCTGGTCATGACTCACTAAAGTGGTTTCCCAATCCGTTAATGGGTCTCACAGTTTGAAAAATACTGACTAAAAGGGTTCCTTCAACCCTTCCCTTTTAATGTGGTTGAGATGATGGTTAAAACAGACTGCATTTGTGTAAAAAGTATGATTTAAATGGAACTATTTAATGTGTGTTTGTTTTTGAAGAACAGAAACAATAGTTACTGAAGCTTATTTAAAGGCTTTGTTTTCAGCCGCATTCATCACAAAATATGGTTTAGGTAGCATTTTGTTGTCTGTTTTGATTGCTTCTAATCCCCTGAACTCGCCACACCTGAAAGGCGGTGATGGCTCGTATTCCCACTAACAACCCTGAGACTCTGTAACACAGGTGGAGAACGAACACAAGACCCGCGGGCCAAATCCCACCTTCCACATTACATTCGGCCCTTTGAAGGCAACCACAAGGCTGATGTGGCCACCGGTGGAAATGAGTTTGACAGCCCTGCTCTAGAAGAACTAGAGGTGCCTCCCGAATCATCAGAGAAAGATTAAGTTATAATGTATAACCCTGGCCAGTGTGGCTTAGTCGGTTGGAGCATTGTGCTGTGACCAACGGGTTGCAGGTTGGACTCCCCACCTGGGTGTGGGTCCTTGTGACCTGCGGTCCAGGCGCACACAGTCCCCAGTCTAGGGATGTATGGGAGGCAACCAGTCGATGTTTCTCCCTCTCCCAAAGCAATGAAAAAATGTCCTCGGGTGAGAATCAAAAAGATCACAATGTGTGTAGTTTCATGGTAAGTGTCCTGACATTTCAGGACACCCGACCTGAGTACAGGGCATGCATGTCGCCTCTGGTGCCAGGAACGGCTAGCCAGAGCACTGTTCTTACAGTTCTTTTTCAGTGTAGCTCCGGTTCCCAACTCTAACCAATGTGTGTGGTGGCATTCTCTCCTAGTTGGAGTTCGAAAAGTCCCAGGTGAAGAAGTTTGAGAAGGAGCAGAAGAAGCTGTGCAGTCAGCTGGAAGAGGAGCGCGCCCGCCACAAGCAGCTCTCCTCCATGCTGGTACTCGAGTGCAAGAAAGCCAGCAGCAAGGCCGCGGAGGAGGGCCACCGGGCCGGGGAGCTGAGCCTGCAGCTGCAGCAGGAGCGCGGCCGCGTCAGTGAACTAGAGGAGGAGCTGGCTGCCGAGAGGAAGCGAGGCTTGCAGACAGAGGCCCAGGTGGAGAAGCAGTTGTCTGAGTTTGACATCGAAAGAGAACAACTGAGAGCAAAACTGAACCGAGAAGAGAACCGGACCAAAACTCTGAAAGAAGAGATGGAAAGTTTGAAGAAGATCGTGAAGGATCTAGAAGCTTCTCACCAGCGTAGTAGTTCTAGTGAGCAATTAAAGAAGCCAGTAACCACATCTAGAGGCACAGTGACGGAGCCCCCCAGGCTAGTGTCTGTGTTCTGCCAAACGGAGAGTTTTCAGGAAGAAAGGACCCACGGGAGCAGTGCGGCCAAGGCAGCGATCACTGGGCTGCCTGTTCCCGCCACTCCTACTTTCTCTTACGCCAAGACCAATGGCCATTTTGACCCAGAGCTTCATACTACCAAGGAGTTGATTACAGGCAGCAATGTAGAAAACCAAGTGCCTCCACGAGAGAAACCTGTGGGATCAGCCCAAGAGAAAGCGGTGGAGAATGGTGGGTACCCCGTGGGGACCGAGAGTCCGGTCCCAGTGCCGAGTCAGCTCCCCTCCAGTGGGAGCTCACTGTCTCCCAGCAGCACCGCGTCCTCCTCTCTCACGTCCTCTCCGTGCTCCTCACCAGTACTAACTAAGCGCCTCTTGGGGTCCTCAGCCAACAGCCCCGGCTACCAGTCATCCTACCAGGTAGGGATCAACCAGCGGTTCCATGCAGCTCGGCACAAATTCCAGTCCCAGGCGGATCAGGACCAACAAGCCAGCGGTCTGCAGAGTCCCCCGTCCAGGGACCTGTCCCCCACCCTCATGGACAACTCTGCCGCCAAGCAGCTGGCCCGCAACACAGTCACTCAGGTGCTCTCCAGATTCACCAGCCAGCAAGGGCCCATCAAGCCCGTCTCCCCCAACAGCTCCCCCTTCGGCACAGACTATCGAAATCTGGCCAGTACTGCCAGCCCAAGAGGTGACACCAGCCATTCGCCAACTCCAGGGAAAGTGTCCAGTCCTCTGAGTCCCCTGTCTCCAGGAATCAAGTCCCCGACCATCCCCAGAGCTGAGAGAGGAAACCCTCCGCCCATCCCACCCAAAAAGCCCGGCCTTGCTCCTTCTCCGTCCACTACGGCTCCACTGACCAAAACTCATTCGCAGGCAACCCCGCTGGCCGGCACAGAAGACCTGGCGAGCAGCTGCTCTTCGAATGCCGTCGTAGCCAATGGCAAGGACGTGGAGATCCTTCTGCCCACCGGCAGCTAGTCTCTGGGAGGGGCTCTGCACTCGACATTCCGTTGACGCCATCCCAGCACTCAGAGTCACACCGCTGAGTCAGATCACGTTATTTATTTTGATAGCAGCTGAAACCATCTGTATAATACATTGAGTGTATTTTGCCTTTTTGTATTTTTTTAAGTAGAAACTGAGTAGTTTGGATTTTTACGACTCACCTCTTTGTACCATAAAGCTACGAAGGGCGCCTCAAAGATGTCCCGAGCTCGGCGGTCACCATCGTGTGAAGGTAGTTGAGTACCAGGTGGTGACTTGCTGTCTTTTTTGGGGGACTAGAATCACTTGACACTCATTTTTAATTATGCAGAAGTGGTTCATGCAGATTTTTATTCCAGATGAACATGTTTTAAAAGTGCCTGAAATAAGACTGCCATATGAATGTGATTCTGCAGCAAAAACACAAACCGGCTCGTTTAATTGCAGAAAATGAGATCCTCTGTGAATTCCGAATGTTGAAAACAAACTGCTTTTAATCCTCTTTTACTGTCTTGAATACTACCAGCTGCATGAGTAGAGTGGGTGTCCTGAAGGTGGTGTGAACTCACTGTGCATCGGAGCCTTTCAGAGCCCGTGAGATGCCCTCCTGAGCATTAGGTAGTTGGGGTGCTGGTTTTCTTGTACTTTTTAAAATTAAGTCACTCCCTGGTTCCTGCAAAAATTCTTGAATAGAAGGAAATCATATCTCCATTCGAAAAATGTCTTCGGGCCTCTACTGTTGTGTAAGGAACTTCTGATTCTGATTGCTGTTACTTGAATAGGAACTGGCTACTCATTCTTGTATAACAGTCTTGCAACAGAATGAGATCTTTAATTCTGTAATCAAAAAGCAATAACTTAAAATTCACTCTTTGTAATATTGTAAGTCAGAGTTATATAGGTTTTACCAAATCGTTACACTTACTCTCCAGACTGGCAGCACCTGGAGTCTATATCTGCGTAACTTCTGCCTAAATGCGAGTGTTCATATATCTGTACAGATACATGCCCCTTTACATGTTTAACACACACACCTACCACATAAGTATCAGTGAGAGCATATCTTTGGAGTTTGCAGTAGATCGCAAAGGATGAGTATAGGTGCATGTTAAGATTACCTCCCAAAGCAACTGGGCGGGTCTGGAACCCGGTCAGCCAGAGGCGCTGCCTTGCCCACAAGGGGATGGGGGACATGCCCAGTGAAGTCAGGTCTTCGGGCTCATAAAAAGGCAAAGCCACACTAGCCCCAGGGTCACAGAACTCAGCTGGCCACGCAGAGGAGCGGGACGGGCACTCGGTCGTGTGGTGTGATGGACCCGCAGCAAACCGGACTGCCCAAGCCCATTTAAAAGGCCCGTCCTCTCCTGTTCAGCTCCAGCTACTTGTTGCCATGCAAAAGCTATGTTACTGGCTCCTCAAATTTTCATGAGAAAAATTCTCATTTTAACTATCAGGAAATTCAAAAAAATATTAAACACTGCTAGTTAAGCACTTCTGCAGCTGCATTTAGCCCACAAGCTACAAAGTTGCAAAATCTTTTTTGTTGTAGAAACTTACATCATTTCCATCATAGCAAGTATGTGAGGACAGAAGCCGTCCTTAGAATATGGTGATGTGATTGATTCAAAGTCCTTAGAACCTCAGAGCTGTCTCCCTCTCTCAGACAAGACTGCACACAACCCAGCACTGACGTGTGCTGACGTGGCTTTGTGCCCGCGGGATGGAGAGGCCGTGGGCGCCTCACACACGCTCCCCCAGCCATCATCTCCCCGGACTCCCTGCTGTCATTTGTGTCTGTTCCCTCTGAATCCAATACAAGTTGATGGGCAGGTGGTGGAAATTCGTGTGTAATGCAGGGGAGCACGTTGGTGTCGCCACAGCTCTGACGAAGGCCCATACTCAGAAATTGAAACCCGTCGATGCCCCAGGAGTCTTCCAAATGATGGAAGGGACACCTTAAAGCGCCGGAAGCAGCCATGCACTGACCTTGATTCCCATGCGTAGCCAATGATGGTGTTGATAAAATAGCTGAACTTGCGATAATCCTGGAGTATTAATACCTCTCTTGCTTTAAATGGTAATCTTAAAATTTGCATTGTGCTCTTCCTTCATTTTGGCATAGATATATTATAGAGAGAGATTATGAGGAAGTTTATTTCTTAGGAAGTGCACTGAATAATGTATTTCTTTTACAGTGTAATATGGGGGTGGGGAAATGAAAAAGAAATGTGTATTTTTGCTAGTTGCCTATCTTCTGAGATAAATAAGCACAATACTGCAATGGATCCAATGATCCAGTTAGGTATTATAGATTAGTATTTAAGTTTGCTGTAGATTGTGTGCGCTAAGTAGAATTTCCATGATTTGCGATTTTGGTGTTTAACCCATGTTGCAAAAGCTATGTCACTGGTCAACAGATTCTGTGTAACGATGTGCAACACATAACAAGCATTAACTCGTCATTAACATTTGTGAAGCAAATGCGCCGTGCAGAAGTCTGCATCCATTTTTATAGCAGACTACATTAAAACAAGCTAAATCAGCCTGTCTGGGGAAAAGAGTCTGGTTCGTACAAAGTGAAGAACGTTGCCCTGCAGGGCCTGTTTTGTTTGGGGAGAAGCAGGTGTTGTAGAGGGAGTGTTCGTTCGTGACTACAAAAAAGCAGATGAAGTCAGCATCCCATCCAGGTTAGACCCCAGAGGAGCTGGAACACTGGTTTTCTGTAGTCCTAGAGCTGGGAGGAGCCCTCACAGTATCTAGTCTGTCATTTTGAAACCATTTGGGGATTCTGGACCTTTTGAGAATCTAAAGGGTAGACTCTATCCTGAGGAAAATGGATATGCTTTTGTGCAAATTGGGTTGGTGGCAGTCACAGGATCCAGAGACCGTGGAGCCATCCCTGGTCCATGCACCCTGACTTCAGAATGCCTGCTTTCCTTTCACCAGTGACGCATGCACCCCACGCCTCCCGGTCCAGTGCTGTTGCAGCTGCATTGTTAGTAAGTGCAAGGCGTGGCTGGACAGAAGCATTGGAAAGTCCTTTGATGTACAGAAGATGCTCAAACTGTGGGTGTTGACGTATCCTAAGTTTCCAGCATTTAAGCCAGTTAATGGGTCATTTCAGCAAATGCTGGGCCTCCCGCTTCCCGCAGCAGCCTGCCAGCAGCGCCTCCTCGTCGGTCTGCACGGGTGTGGTTTGTAAAGAACACATTTGGTGCTCGGGACTTGAGAGGAAATGTCAACTGTCTTTGGACAGCCTGTTGTGTTTTTTTCATACTCGTGAGTCACAGGCAGGCAATGGGCACTGTCCCACAGGAGTCGTTTTAATGTAGTTGCTGTAAAACTGGCTGAGAAAATGTGAGGACCTATATCCAGCCATCTGCCCTCGTATCAATGGCCAATTCATGGGTAAGAGCAGAGGAGGGAGGAGAGGGTAGTGGTTCTCAAACCTGACTGCTTCAGCACAACCCACACAGACTCCTGGGGGTGGGCGTGGGGCCGGCGATGCACCGGACCTGAGGATCACCTTCGGAGAAATAGTGCCTCCCGGCCCTCCCTCACCAGTTCATTCACAAGAACTTGTTCTTTGCCTTTAAAAGGCAATGGTATTCAGAGGCATGACTGTCTGTTGGGTTCCAAGCTCTGAGCAGTGTTAATGCTTTCCAATACATACTGCCTTCCTGAGCTTCACAGGGGCTGTGAGGTAGTATTGGCCCTGGGTATGTGGGTGAGATCGTTGAGGATCAGAGGCTCGTACAGGGCCCTTAGTAAGTGAGGGGCCTGGGCGATTGCCCCAGGGCTTTGCTCTTGCCACTCCATGGGTTTCATAAATAAGAGTGTCCTGCAGCTGACCCTGGGCCCTCTGGAGACCCTGATTCAGTAGAGTAAGGTGGGGCTCTAGATAAAGGCCTGGTCTGATTCTGAGAATGGCACAGGCTTCAACCCTGCCGGGCACCACACTGCCCTCCGCGCCACTCCCCCAGCCCCGCCCTCAGGAGTGGATGATCAGACCTAACCAGGGAGACGGATTTCCCTCAAGCTGCACATCACTATTTGAGAGGAGACAGACACCGACACCGAGGTAGCTGTTACGGAAGACAAGTTTTAAAGTGCCCCCTGCCCTCAGGGCACTCACACTGTAGTTCAGAGAAGGGAAACATTAACACAAGTCACAGACAACTGAGGAGCACAAGTGGCGTTAGAAAGCCAAGTGGGGCTGGTGATGGCAGTTCTGGCAAAAGCCCTGCGGTGGAATTGAGGTGACACAGTAGCCTGTGGCTCTGTCCACACCGCTGAAGTGGTTGGCTCCGAGAAATTACTGGAAGCGTCCCAACCAGATTGGCCTTATCCCTGGAGAGTTACCTACTTGGTTGGACAAGAGACCTGTTCACTCATTTAACTGGGCAGACACCCCAGTCTCCCTTCAGGAGTGAAGGGTTTCTTCCCAAATGCTGGCAGTGAAACTCCCTTGGCTGTAAGCCCCGTCTAGGAACGGCCTTAACTGAAAGACCAGTTTGGCCAAGGTCACGGCTCCTTCCGTGGGCAAACAGGCTGGTTGCTGTGGAGGGTGGAGACCGGGTGCCTTGTCTCTCTAATCAGGGGCGCTCTGAAGGGTCACCCCAGCTTCAACCCCCCTGTAGGACTGGCTGGCTGTAGCTCAACTTTACCTTCCCTTCCCCCCCACCCCGGGTCCTGAGGGCACTGAACTCCCTGTTAAGCTGGCACCTCAATCTCCCTCTCAGACTGATGGGCCTTGGGGCCATGGCTAAGTCCCTTAAAGAAAGTATTTGGTGCCAAACTCAACCAGGCCTTAAGTTTATGTTACTTCACTTAACTGCTAAGTGAGGCTGGTGTTCCTACTTGACCCCCATGGTAATCGAGGCTCACTGAGGCACACGTCAGGGCCCAAGGTGTCCCAGCAGAGCGGGGCTGAGGTTCGATGGCACAGCTGGAATTGAAACCTTTCCATTGGCCTTCCAGTCCACCTGCCTCCCACGGGCCCCACTCTAGCCAACTCTATGGGAAAATACACGCGGGGAGTTTAGATTATTACTCTTTGTCCTTCAGATTCCTACGTGTGAACCCTCTTGAGACTTGCAGCTCGGAGCAGGGCACTGACAACAGGGTTCCGGGAGGAGAAAGGAGAGGGGTGACTGGCCATCGAATCTTAAGAGCAAGAAGGGAGCCGAGAGACCCTTCACTCCAGCTCCCTCCTTACAGAGGAGAGGGCGGCCCAGAAAGGCCAGGTGGCTGGTCCAAACCACCTCACTAGCTCTTGGCAGGGATCGGGGCTGAAGAGCCAGTCCTGCTCTCTTGCTTCTGCTCGGCCACCTGCTCCCCCTGACCTGCCCTGGGACTAGGAGTTGCTAGCTCAGCCCTGGCCACTGCCTCCTTCCCTTTACCTGGTTCTCTGGGCATTGATCTTGCTCACCTGAGCTGCCCCAGATTCCAGACCTTGCCCTCTGTCCACTGGCCTAGGGCTGACTGCTGTACGCGTTGCCACAAAAATCCTGTCCTCCTGTCTCTGAACCGGTTTGACAGCCGAGGGGAGGACAGTGGGGCCTCTCCCCGGGGGCGGCGCCTCCGTCTGTGGAGCACTGGCTCTGGGAAGTGTGCACTCACAAGGCATCCTTTGCTCCTCAGGTGTGGACGTGCAGTCACTGAAGCCATGGATGTCTGTCCCCTCCCAGCGTGTGCCTCTGACCTGCCACACCTTCCCCTCCTGGTTGCAAACACACAGCCCCCCCGAGAAGGGCCTTTTTCACTCCCAAAACTCACCCCTCTCCCTTCCCTGCAGTGCCCAGCTTCCCACTCCCCTGCTTCCCTGCCCGCCCAGCCCAGGCAAAGCCTCCCAGGACTGTTTGGGCCTGAGCGTGGTTGGATGGTATGGGGGTGGTGCCCAGGGCACACAGGCCCCTTCTTCATCCCTGGTGGGTTTTCCCTCCCCTGAAACTTGGTGAGTCAACACCACAGGGCCACACACAAGGCTCCTATTCAGAGCTCACTTTCCCTCTGCCCTAACTCGGCCCTTGGCATCTCTCTCTCCTTAGGTCTCTGTGTAGGCCTTATTCTCTCCCTGGGAAAGCTCTGCTCCCGGCTCCAGGCCCCTGAGCTCCGCCCCACCCTCCAGACACACCCTCATTCCTCTTCCACACCTTCTGGGAGTTCGCAGCCCCAGCTGGACACAAACATAAAAGGGGTTGAACAAAATAGACATGTTAAACTATGAAGTCCTCATTTGCATATTTCCAAATGGTGTGTGTTGTTGCTGGCTCCACAGACCCTGAGCCGGGTTGAAAGGGACGCATGCCCACACGCACACCTGCCACGCCTGCCCGTCATCCATTCAGCACACGTGTGTTAAACACTGTGTGCCGAGTCTCATGTGAAGGGCTAGAATTTACACTTTGAGGGGGGATGAGTTTGGTGGATGGGATACCTCAGGGCAGCGCTGGGCAGGATGCAGCCCGCGCCCAGATGGGTGATGGGACCCCCGAAATGCCTAAGAAGTTCAGCACAGCAGTGAAACCTGTGGGTCGAGACCCAGATGTACAGGGACAGGAGAGGATACTGGTCTGCATGGATGAGGACAAGGGGGTGCCGAAGCGGGGCCTCGGGCAGATCAGCCTCTGCTAGCCTCCCTTTCAGCGCCGGGGTCAGGACGACAGGAGATGATCTGCCGCCTTTAGGGAAAGGCACAGGGCGGAGAGGCTGCAGGTCGAAGAGGGAAGGCTGGGCTCCCTTATTCCCAAAGCTGAGCGGCTGGCGCCCCCTGGTGTTTCTGTTGCTGAGATTCTCTGCACCCAGGCCCGCCGCGCCTCCCCCTCCCTGAGACAGGACCCACTTCAGAGACCTGGTGTGAGCACAGGTGCGTCCCCTCCCCCTGTCGTTGCTCGACCATCTCCCTGACAGTGAAGGGTGGGCCAAGGCCATGGGCGGGAGCCCAAACTAGTGACAGGGAGACCACCGCGACAACCTCTCAGGGGTGCTGTGAGCCTGAAGTGAGCAAATCAACTTCAGACTCGCTGGGGCCTAATAAGCGCTCTGCAGGTGACAGCCACTATTACGTGGCTCCTGGAACCGTGACCAACACACAGCAGGAGCCCCATCGCTATTTGTTAAATGGGGGTTAGGAGGGGTCTATTGGCATTTTTTGTTTATTCATTTGCCCGTTTAATTATGCTTCAAAAATGTCTACACTGCCTTTCCTGTAAACAAACAAACAAACAAACAAAACAACCCTTAATGAGTCAAGTAAGTAAGTGAGAGCCAGCGCTCTGTGGGAGGAAACAGATTTTGTCCATCCGGCCATCCATACAACAGCTCCCACTAGGTGCCACTCACTGACTTAGGCAGGAGGAAACAGATTTTGTCCATCCGGCCATCCATACAACAGCTCCCACTAGGTGCCACTCACTGACGTAGGCACTGGGGTAGAGAAGTGAGTCGCTGGCCTTCAGGGGCTTTGGATGCTGGTGGGAGAGACAAACACAAAACATGGTGTGACGTGGACTGTAATAAAAATAGGAACCCTCTGTGCCATAACAGTCAATCCCCAGTG